TTTTTTGACGAATTTTTTGAAAATTGGAAAAAAAAATTCGAGCGGGGTGGGCGCTTGGGGAGGGGGGGAGGATGGGAGTTTGAATGACCGGAAGTTGTCATCGCTGGGTTTAGTGCAAAAAGGTCACTTTCTTATCGCTCATCGGGCGTTCTGGGAATTATATTACGTCAAGTGTGTATCAGCCGAGGTGACCATAAATACATCGGGGATGTGAGTAATGCGAATCATTGAGGTAATGCTGGGGGGAGGGGGGGAGCTCGCGGGGGTTTAAACGGTGGGGGCAGTTATTTTTAATAATATTTACGATTTTTGATTAGGGGCAGGGGGTAAGGAGTTGAATTGTTGATAAAGCGGGGATGTGAGAATTTTTTTATTCAGTGAATAATATAATAATATAATTGTATTTATATTATTTCACTATAATTTCAGAATATAATGTCCATTTCACGTAATAAGAATTCTATACTCTATATAGTGTTCCACGAGAACTGATCTAAATACAGAAGTTCCCCGTAAAATATGTCAAGAAATAATGAGAAACATTCTCTGCAGGAAATTAAATTCTGTACGAAAATGTCTGTCAATGTTTTCCACTAGATTAACTCATCCTCGAGATATTTTCCGCAATCACATACCCAGAAAATTTGGACTCGAGTAAAAAATTGGAGAATTCTCTTTGTTTATTTTACAAATATCTCGAAAACTTGAGGATTTATAGAGCTCTCAAGACTGTCCACGTGGAAAATTAAATCCTCTCCAACAATATTTTTTCAAATTTCCCTCTAAACATTTTTAAACATTTCTAAAAAGATTTTACAAGCGACAAAATTCAAAAAATTCTTTTGCATTCATTAAAAAAATTTCTTGTGTAAATCGTGGATGTGAGTAATTTATAAAGATCTCTCAAGACTTTCCACGTCAAAAAGTGAATCCTCTCCAAAAATCTCTCTTCAAATTTCCCTCTAAACATTTTTAAACATTTATAAAAAACTTTTACAAGACAAAATTCAAAGAATTCTTTTCCCTTCATTAAAAAAATATCTTGTGTAAATCTTGGATGTAATTTATAGAGAGCACTCAAGACTTTTCAAGTCAAAAATTGAATCCTGTCCAAAAATATCTCTTCAAATTTCCCTCTAAATATTTTTAAACATTTATAAAAAAAATTTACAAGAGACGAAATTCAAACAATTTCTTTCCATTCATTAAAAAAATTTCTTGTATAAATCTTGGATGTGAGTAATGCGCATAATTTACGTTATATTCAGGGGAGAATTGCTGGGGGGGGGGGATGAATGAATTCGTGGGCTTTAAAATAATAGAGGCATTTATTTTCAACAATATTTACACTTCTTCCATGATGAGGGGAATGATAATGATGGTGATGATGATTAGATTCGAGGGAAGTGGTAGAACGTGTAGTCATGATTTTGGGAATTGTAATTGAGTTTTTCCATGAAATTCACTGAATATTTAATGTTATTATTCAAAAAAATAGTTTCGTCGAGGGAGAAAATGGACACTTTTACATTTTTTTACTATTCATAGCTCAGAAATAAAATCATTAATTGAGCTCCGTCTGCACTCATCCCAAAGAGGAAGAATTGTACTTTACAAGAAAAGAAGAATTATCCCGTTTCATCAACAGTACAATTAATTATCAAAATTTAAAAAAAACTCAAAAGTGTCCATATTGCCCCATTCTCCTCACATTTTCGCCTGCAGCCAGTCATCGACACAATTCGATGCATATCCAAAAGATATAAAAATCTATTTTGTATTCTGTTGCATTTTACCACTTCCCTCCTCTCTTAATCGAATTAATTGCATAACTGTACATTTTTCTCGACTTCATCCATAAAAATGAGTCTCTTTGAAAAGATCAATGTCAATTGTCATCATAACTCGTCTCTCAAAGGTCTAATTCTCTCATCCTGACCCTTCGAGATTTCGCAGATTTGACTGCCAATTTTTTTCAAATTCCTGTAGTAAGTACGGAATTTCTTCAGAATCGTGAAAAACTTCTCGTCAGTCTCGAGATCGTCCACGATGCTGAGAATCAAGTGAATCTCTCGTATGTGCTCCAATCGCCGCAAGATCTCTCGTCTTTTATTAGATAACGTCATCTTGGGCAGGTATCTACTCTGTCTCCGCAGCTTCCGGTAAATTCCCAGCTGATTATGAATAATATCGAGGCACAGCCTTCGTATTCTAGCTACGCAGTCTTTTGGTGGCTCACCAGCTCCAGTGTGACACACATTCACCAGTGCTTCGATGTGTGAATCATCGTTTAAATTAGCGAGAACGAAATTTAATAGATTTGGAATTGTTATTGGCAAGCTGAATGGATACACCGTGCTGTCCTCTTTTCTGCAATTCAATTGCAATAAAAAAATTGATGAACAATTGAGGAAATAAGTAATCAGTTGTTTAATGGGAGGGAACAGCTGATGAATTTGAAACAGATTTTGTCATTTTTTTTTATTCCCCCAAGTGAAATTTATTGGAAAACGTAAAATGAACTCTTTACTCATAAAATTCTCTGTAGAAAAAATCAAAAATAAAACAATAAATTTTTTTTTTTTTCAATTAAAAAGTTGAACAATTCAATTAAGTTTGCGGACATTTTGCAATAATTTTATTATTTAAACTTTTAAGGTCTCAATTTGAATCTTGATATTAAACTTAGAAAGTTTATTACAACGAAACAATCAAAAAATTGCAATTTTGTCAAAATTACGAGGATTTTCTACAAATAATTTATAAACAATCAATTTTCCTCCTCAAAAATGATTAATTATGATTATTAACAATTAATAACAGATTATTATTATCATTAAAAAATAAGGTTTCCAAAAGTTTAAATAATTTCAATTATTTACTCATAAACAACTCATGTTTAAAACAATAATTCTGAGCAAAATGTAATTTGAATGACGCTGAATATTCATCATTACTTTTCAAATTTTCCTTCCGCAATTTAATTAACAAATTTGATGACTGAATAAAGGTTAAATCTACAATGCAAAAACAAACTTGGATATCCCTAGAAGTAAATGATTCCAAATCTCCCATTCATAATAAAAAAATCACGAGAACGAATGATCAACCTCCCCCCGTTGATTCACAACTCACCTCTTAGCTGGAAAGAAGAGAATCGCCGGATACCGATTCATGCTGTATTCCCAAGGCAAGTCATTATTATCCCCATCGATTCTAACGAACGCCAGATTACTCATCCTCCTGAGATACCGTGCAACAGTCAGATAAACATATCCAACAGCACCGCAGAACGCGCAGTAAGGCGAGTGATAAAGAACGACCACATCCCTGCGAGGATCCAAGACAGCCCTGAGAAAGCTCTCAGTCGTGAGTTCCTGAATGCAGACCTGGTCGCTCCTCTCGCCCTTGCACTCGTCGACCGGCTGGAAGTCCCTAGCGAATCTCCTCCCCGAGTCCGACCTCAGCCTCCTCTGCAGGGACCCATTACTGAACTCATCAATGAACTTGACAAGTGACTCCCTCCCCAGGTGCCCCTCCATGAGGTACTGGCTCTCCTGAACAGAATCGAGAATAACAACAGCAGTCCTATTCTCCATCCTCATGAGGTCGATCCCCAGTCCTTCAGCAAAATGAAAATAATTCAGACTATCAATTGCGACGAAGGACAACGACCTGTTGCCACTGCAGGCAGAGGCCCTGAGCTTCACCTCGACATCCCCCTCGAGGCTGACAGGAAACACTGGAGGCTGATACTTGTCTCCAATCATCAAATATTTACAGTTCTCCCTAAGAATTAGTTTCCTGAGGTTTTCCGGGGACTTGGGGTCGTTCTCCCCAGTGATCATGGAGGAGAGGTACCTCCTGTCGCCCGCAGCTGCCCCTGGGGACCTCGAGGAAGTCTGAGAGCCCCGAGGATCCCCATCGCAGCAGAAGTGCCTGTCGAAATCCTTCTCGTTCATCACCTTGAAGACGTCCTTCTGACTGCAAATTTCGTGCAAGTGTCTTGGGGGAGTGCTGCAGACGTCCTCGGGGCCTCTGTCCCTGCAGAGGAGGCATTTATTCATGAAGATCTTGGCGCAGCAGCTGTCGTTGACCCACTGCTGCAGGGAAATGCTCAGGGGGATGCTGTTTTCCTGGGATTTCGAGAGCAGCTCCGAGCATTTTTGGATGGACTCCTGGTGGCCAAGTTGGGACTGGTGTCGCTCCCTTTGCAGGTGCTGGATGAGGGCGTTGGTCCAGTAGAGGTTATCACAGTTGTGGTACTCCAGGGCCACCTCCTGGAGGAGTTTGTAGTTGTAGTTGGTAGGGTGGAGGGGATTCCTGGGGATGAACAGGAAGAGGACGGGGCCAGCGTTGAGGTAGGGGGCTAGGGTCACAGATTTGACGCCTGGGGGCTGCAGCCACTGGGAGACTCGGTGGATCGAGCGCTCCAGCCACTGCAGGAGGCTCTCGCAGCTCCAGATTCTGTCGGAGGGGTAGATCAACGACTCGTTCCACAGGTGGAGGCTTGCTGAGGGGAACGAAGAGATGCTGAAGCCTGCGGAGGCCCCTGGGGACGTCACCACTGCGAACTTTATCTCGCGGTTGGGGTCTTTCTCCAGGAAACGGAGGGAGAGCTTGTAGAAGTCCTGGTAGCCTGGGCTCGAGGGCAGCCCGGTGAAGTTGAAGAAACCCACGAGGACTAGCTCGTGGGGGATCAGCAGGCGAGTCAGGTCCTCTTGGGTTGAGATGCGGGACAGGGGGTGCAGGTAGTTGGCCAGGAAACGCAGCATGTAGGGGGCTGTTGGGATACCCCGGTATTGGACACCCGTTCCGCGGAGGGGGTACAGGATCAGCACTGGGTAGCTCTGGATCTTTGGGTACTGCGCGCGACATTCAGAGCCTGGGTGCCAGCAGTTTATCGCTGAGAAGAACATCTGGAATTGGGGGAAGTCTGAGCTGGGCGGGAACCGGTTTCTAGGGGAGTGGGGCGCAATGGTATATGGAAAAAAATGGAACAGCCCAGAAACGATTATTTCTGTACTGCTTCTCACCATTTCTCGTCTGGGAATTGGTATTACGTACTTCCCAAACTCGAAAACTTGAAAATCACTACAGAAAAATATTGTTCCTGGGCTGGTGCGATGGGGTTTTTTTACTCGTGTGGTTGGCCAGTCCTCGCCTACGGCTCGGAGGCCAACGCCACACGAGTAAAAAACCCCATCGCAACAGACCGGAAAAATACTATTTGACGCAATTCAAGGAAAAAAATTATTTTACCAACTTTTGGTCATCAACTTTTTTTTAGTACTAGCGAAGATTCATTTATATTATTCTATTTCATTTTCTTTCCGTTTTCGTCTTCACAATTAAGATTAATTTAATTTTATCTATGCTTATTATTATTATATATATTTTTTTTCCCTTAATGAGCGAGTTGCGATATTGAATGAAGAGGAATTATGTTAAAGATCAATCAAAGGTTTTTTTTGGGATCGAAAGAGACACACAACACAAAAGTCATTCAAAATCTTATGCGGATAATAGAAAAATCTGTTCATGTATTCCTGAGAATTTTTAAAGTCCATTTTTCACTCCATATGATAAAAGGATATCGGTACGCCTCATTCCTGTGGTCGGATTCAAATTATTATTATGAAAATGAGATGAAAAACGAATCGGAAGGGGATAATCGGCTAAAAAATTGAGTTTTTTTTCTCTTTTTATGTGGGCGGGAACTTCGAATCACTTTTTTTTCTTCAAGTATTAGAGGGATATCGACACTTCAGCGAGAAGAAATTCAAAAAGTGTAAAAAAACGTGGGCGGGAAGAAATAAAAAAAAAATTTTTTTTGGTGGAAAACTAGTGGTCTTATGAACTTCTGCAGCCCAAAACCTTGATCCCTCTTACCTGTGAATGATACTGTTGTGCCACAATTTCAAACTCTTCCCTCACAATCTGCGACTCAGCATCCCAAGGTGCATAATACATGATAAAGCTCAGATCAGAGTCCGAGGCTCGTTCAATCATGGCACTGACTTGTCCCTTATAAAAATCAATTATTACCGAATTTTCATTGAAAAAAGGTCGAGCCGGTGGTGGCTTCGATATCCTGGGGGCTCTGCAACACCAAAGAACCAAATCGTTTGTTAAAAATTACCAAAAAAGAATTTTTTTTCAAACTTTTATTGCAGAAATTAATTAATTAAAATTAATTAATTAATTTAAAAAATTAATTAATTAATTTAACAAATTATTCTCTGTGCAAGCAAGAAACGGAATTTTCAGCACTACTTCTTCATTACTAGAATGCTCCCATACGTATTTTGCTCCCAGCAAATGCTCGTTTTATATGAAAAAAAATGAATTATTAAATGAAATAATAATGATGAAAACATCAATCTTGTGATTCCCTCACAAAAGATATTTTTCCCCTAAAAAGGCACCGTCTTGCATGAATGATCCGCCTCCTGAGCCAAATATTTCGTTGTTGTTGAAAGCAGAGCAGTTACTCATGTTTGAGACTGTCAAATTCGAACCAAACAATTATTTTTTTCGTAATTTTCAACTAACAATTTTGCTGGCCTAAGCAAAACTTGTTTGAGAATGTTTTCGCTTTTCCCTCAACGCAATCCTCAATTAAAAAATTCAAAACTCTCCTCTGAACCCTCTGATCCAATGCCCCCAACAACTCGAAAATAGCTGGACAAAAAAATTATTTTTAACCCAAAAACATAACCTACAACTTACGCATTGTGGAGTGCAGCGAATGCAAGGCCGAATGTAAAAATTCCGATGAATAAACAAATTGTTTCACGTGAGTATGACAACATCTTGCTGGCGAGTCTCTCCTCTAACGATGGATTTCGTGGCGATTCACTCGCCACGTTGCAACATTCAGTGTCAGTGGACGTATTTTGATTATCAACATTTCTCATCGACTCGTCTTTGCCCTCGTTGAACATCATCCGTGGACTGTTGATATGATTGAGCCAATTTTTTACAATTTACCAGGTGTATTTTCACGTCACGGTAGCACTGTCCGTCATCCTGGATCGTCTTTAGGCACATGAAAAAAACTGAAAAGGCCTTAACTCGATTACCTGAGGCCGAGACGACCGAATAGGGTAGACTGTCACGCGTACAAACATCCTTGTGAACAGCTGATCGGCGCTATAGTGCGTGAATGGACGACCGTCGTATCGCGGCTTAACACGTGCGCTTCGTTAATGAGTTATTTGTTTTTGTTTGGCGATTTGGGGCGTGACATCGATTTTTTTATTATTTAATTCGGTAGATTGTTGAGGGAGTGGTGAAGGGAGGGGGAGATGTGGGGGTTGTGCTCCAAAATATAAAACAGGTGGATAATTAACTATGTGAATAGTTAAAGGTATTGTTTTAGGGATTTTATGTTGTAGGGGAGAGCGGGGTAAAATGAACCCTTTTAACTGTTTTTGAAATGTTCATGACGTGTTGAGTAATTGATCGAATGGAATAATTTCATTTTTCAGTTGAAAGTAGAATTATTCACCTTCGTGATGAACATGAACTGAGCTTAATTCATAAATCTCTTTCTAAGTTATGGATATTTCTAAAAAAAAGTCAAAAGTGTCCATTTTATCCCGCTGAACGGAGCTTAATTCATAAATCTCTTTCTGAGTTATGGATATTTCTAAAAAAAAGTCAAAAGTGTCCATTTTATCCCGCTGAACTGAGCTTAATTCATAAATCTCTTTCTGAGTTATGGATATTTCTAAAAAAAAGTCGAAAGTGTCCATTTTACCCCGCTCTCCCTAAATAATTGCGTAGAAATGGCGATTCGTTCGGTTTTCATTTAGATATGAATTTTAATTGAGGGGAATGACTTTCAGAAACAATTAGACATTTTATTTTATCCAAAAATTTGCAATTTTTTGATAAAAAAATCCCTCGATTATTTTCTAAAGGTCGACATCAAATATTTTAAATGCATTAACAGCCAATCACTTAATAAAAATTGAATATTCAAGTAATTAAACAATAATTCCAAAGTATTTCTCAAAGTATTCCCCATTAAAAATTCCATTCAAATTATTAATGAACCAATTAATTCACTAATTTGTTTTCGATCAACTTGCAGTCCGACTTCCAACTTCAACAGCTAGACCACAAATGAACTACTCCCAACCAATGAATGAATATCACAGACTTGAAAATTAATTTCACCCATTAAATCAATTAATTAATTTCAAAACCTAATTCCACCCATTAAAAAACTCCTGGACTCGATGGGTTTGGCTTAAATTATGAATTCTCCATCTGAAAGGCTCTGAGACTTCCCTGGACGAACCAAACCATGAAGTCCCTTTTAGTCTTCATCCCCAGGAACTTCTGCAACGAAGCTCCTGGGTACATAAACGGCAAAGTTGTCTACGATCAAGAGAGTGAGAGTAAAAAATTCTACATAATCGGAACTCAATCAGCCCCTCGAGGGACTCCAAAAATCCATTCCGACTTGATTGGATATTATTCTGGTTCCACTGGGGCTTCCAAGGTCGACAAGAGGGTGTGGGACTGGATAGAGATCTCCTCGAAGCCCTCAGCGACCCAAAAATCCCACGATTACTACCTGAAAAGTGTGACTGTCGACAATCAGAGGATAGAGATGACCCTGAAGTCCCAGCACACAGTCAAGATTATTTACGATCAGGTGGGGCTGTTGGAGGCCGAGCTATTCAGGAGTGACGATCAGCCGGGGAATCACTTCCTCGAGCTCAAGGAGATCCTCGAGAGGAGGAAGATCGAGGTGAAGGAGAAGGGGGTCCTCGTGGGGATGGTGGAGACTCTCCTCATGTACACGGTTCTCTGCTTCATGTACCCTGTGATGTCACTTGGGGAGGTGACCAACATGCTGATGCCTGTGCTGAAGTACTCCACGCTGGGGCTCCATGTCAATGGCTGGCTGGAGAACACCAAGTGGACGCTGGCTACTATCGTTCAGGAGAGGAGGGTCAGCTTGAAAACTAGGAATCATATTTTAGCTACGATGTTCGATGTGTCGCTTGGCGTCATGGCTTTGAGATTACTGCTGCATTATATCGGGGGGATACCACCGTCGCAGATGCTGCTGGATAATGCTGAGGTAAATCATGAGGATGATGGTGATGATAAGGTGGTGAGGAGCGAGTTTGTCATGAAATTCATGATTTACAAATCGGTTTCTTGATTTTTTCTTATGGAATGAGCAGCTTTAGGGCAGTGGTAGCCATATTCGTCAATGATAATTAACGTTAAATTTTGAAGTAAATTTTTGACATAAATCTTAGAATTTTAAATGTTAAATTAACTACCAATTTGTACATTCAAATTTTGAAAGACTTTATTAATCAATAATTTAGGTAGGAAGATTGACGATTATTTGGATAATCGAAAATCAAGTACCTAATTTAGAATTAGCTTGTCAACTGAAAATTATATTTCAATATTAAATAAGGTGGTGAGGAGCGAGTTTGTCATGAGATTCATGATTTACAAATCGGTTTCTTGATTTTTTCTTATGGAATGAGCAGCTTTAGGGCAGTGGTAGCCATATTCGTCAATCATAATTAACGTTAAATTTTGAAGTAAATTTTTGACATAAATCTTAGAATTTTAGATGTTAAATTAACTACCAATTTGTACATTCAAATTTTGAAAGACTTTATTAATCAATAATTTAGGTAGGAAGATTGACGATTATTTGGATAATCGAAAATCAAGTACCTAATTTAGAATTAGCTTATCAACTGAAAATTACATTTCAATATTATCAAACATTTTATTCACCGTCAATCGGAAAATTCAATTATTAAATTTTATAATATTTTAGATTTGTTAAATATAGTTAAACATTAAACAATGTAAGGGAATAATCTTAATATTACCAAAATCTAATGTTATTGGCCATCCCTACTTCAGGGGAATTCACTGAATATATTCGAGGTTTTTTGTTTTTGAGGAAATTCCGGTTCGAAGTAAATTGATAGGCATTGGAATCTCAAAACATTTAAAAACTCTGAAAAAAAAATTAGAAAATTTAGTTTTAGAGAAAACTAAGTTGGATACGAAAATTGAATGAAAAATATTGGACGCTTATTTTCTGATTTCGATGAATAATGAAAAAATGTTGAATATTTTTCATCCAATTTTCGTAGCTGATAAAATTCAGGTCAAGACACGTTTCGTAGAGATTTTTATAATATTTTAAATTACATTTGTTCCTTCATTTAAGACAAAATTTAAAGATTGAAATAAATTAATAAATCATTTATCAAAATATTCTAAAGACATTATTTATAAAATTATCTTGTTTTCCACAGAAAGTTGTTGAATCGTTGAAGAGTCTCATCCACTGGCTGATGGGATCCCCAGCAGGACTCAAGCTGAATCACTCTTTCAACAAGATGTTGGGGAATTTCTTCCTCTATCACATTCACCTCTGGTGGACATTCCTAGTCTCCATAAAACCAGTCATGGATTTTTTCTTCGAAGTATTACTGTTGTTCGGCAGATTGGGAATAACCTTCCAGATATCAATCGCTGCTGATCTCCTGGCACTCGTCAGTTTCCACACCTATTGTATTTATATTTATGCAGCTAGGTAAATTGATGAAACGAGGCAATCGAACCTGAAGAAGAAACTCGAAGTTTTAACGAACAGAATTCATGAATCCTTTTTATTTTCAGACTATTCAATATTCAGATACGAGGCTTAACAGCTCTGTTTCGCCTCTTCCTCGGGAAGAAGAGAAATCCTTTGAGAGAACGAGTCGACTCTTGTCAGTACCAGGCCGATCAGTTATTCGTTGGAACTCTTTTATTCACTATTATTCTGTTTCTCATGCCAACGACATGGGTTTATTACTCAGTCTTCACTACAGTAAGAATTAAAAACTGATCGGTGATCATTTAATTTTATATTCATTTATTTATTCTTGATAGTGATGTCTTGACGTTTTTTAATAGCTGAGATTAATCCTCATCGGCTTCGGAGGCTTCCTCACGAGACTACGATTTTACCTCCAAGTGATTCCTGCCTACACCTTCTTTTGCTGGGTCTTTCGATCCAGAAGTGCAAACAGTGAGTTGTCACAGAGTTAAAAGAGTAAACGTGTAGATTATTTTTCAAACTTGCAGTGCCCAAAATGAAAAGAAAATTGTGAGAAAAATTGAGGCTTGAAGACTTGCATTTTGTAAACTACTCATTTTAAAAATTATATGAATGTTTTGAATTTCTTTAAATAGAGGAAAAGTCGTTGAATTAATTGATAGATTGAAATTTCTTATCAACGAATTAAAATTTGTTATTGAATTAATTTTTGAAGTAGAGAATTAGTCAATGTTACTCATCATTTTTTAATTACTGAATTCCTCATCAATTAAATTATTCAAATTCTGAATTATTTACACAATAGTCAGTTGACAATTCCATACTGTCAATTATTTAATTCATAGTTAATTGGAAATGGATATTATTAATTATTTTATTATTTTTCAAATTTTAATAAAGATAAGTAAACTTCAATTATTTTCAGCTGTAACTTGTCGAAATATTGATAATGTGATGATTAATGTCGATCCCTGCTGGGGACGTGTTGAAAAATTTTGAACAAGACTGGCAAATAAAATTCGAAATATCATAGAATTTCGATTTTATGAGCCAAGTAAACCCCCATAATCCCCTTCACGACTCTCTTTGACGTCTTCCAGGTTCAGTAAAATTGCTGATGAAATCCAGGGACAATACTGGTGCAATAACCTTGCTGATGACGACTGTAGCTGCACCCTGGAGAGACACCTGGAAACGATGCATCCCAGATACTCTTACGTACCATCCCTCCATAGAGTGGGGAGTGATTGTGAGCAATATATTCTGGGGTCAACTACTCTACCCTTTGTAAATGAATCAACTCAATCCAATTAATTTAATCAATTGAATTAACGTGTAATGAACAAAACCAAGAGATCAAATCCAAATCGAATGAATAAACCCATTATTTTTTATCGTCATCACATAAACACCTGTTTATTTCACACCTCTCGTACTAATTATAATTTAAACCCCCAAATTTCTCTCATTTACATCCGTATTAAGTATTTTGTCATTCCTAATATGAATGATAAATTACGAATCAAGTGAATCTTCTTCGCAAATCCTCGTTATTAGCACCAGCGAAATAATCCCCCAGTGCCAATTAATTCAATCAATAGAAACAATTGATTGAATGAATCGATTGACCCAATCAATTAAATTGATTTGTGATGAAAAAAACCAAAAGATCAAATCCAACTCGAATGAATAAACCCATTCTTCTCTATTATCATCACATCAACACCTATTTATTTTATACCTCTCGTATCAATTATAATCTGAACCCCCCAATTTCTCTCATTTACATCCGTATTAAGTATTTTGTCATTCCTAATATGAATGATAAATTACGAATCAAGTGAATCTTCTTCGCAAATCCTCGTTATTAGCACCAGCGAAATAATCCCCCAGTGCCAATTAATTCAATCAATAGAAACAATTGATTGAATGAATCGATTGACCCAATCAATTAAATTGATTTGTGATGAAAAAAACCAAAAGATCAAATCCAACTCGAATGAATAAACCCATTCTTCTCTATTATCATCACATCAACACCTATTTATTTTATACCTCTCGTATCAATTATAATCTGAACCCCCCAATTTCTCTCATTTACATCCGTATTAAGTATTTTGTCATTCCTAATATGAATGATAAATTACGAATCAAGTGAATCTTCTTCGCAAATCCTCGTTATTAGCACCAGCGAAATAATCCCCCAGTGCCAATTAATTCAATCAATAGAAACAATTGATTGAATGAATCGATTGACCCAATCAATTAAATTGATTTGTGATGAAAAAAACCAAAAGATCAAATCCAACTCGAATGAATAAACCCATTCTTCTCTATTATCATCACATCAACACCTATTTATTTTATACCTCTCGTATCAATTATAATCTGAACCCCCCAATTTCTCTCATTTACATCCGTATTAAGTATTTTGTCATTCCTAATATGAATGATAAATTACGAATCAAGTGAATCTTCTTCGCAAATCCTCGTTATTAGCACCAGCGAAATAATCCCCCAGTGCCAATTAATTCAATCAATAGAAACAATTGATTGAATGAATCGATTGACCCAATCAATTAAATTGATTTGTGATGAAAAAAACCAAAAGATCAAATCCAACTCGAATGAATAAACCCATTCTTCTCTATTATCATCACATCAACACCTATTTATTTTATACCTCTCGTATCAATTATAATCTGAACCCCCCAATTTCTCTCATTTACATCCGTATTAAGTATTTTGTCATTCCTAATATGAATGATAAATTACGAATCAAGTGAATCTTCTTCGCAAATCCTCGTTATTAGCACCAGCGAAATAATCCCCCAGTGCCAATTAATTCAATCAATAGAAACAATTGATTGAATGAATCGATTGACCCAATCAATTAAATTGATTTGTGATGAAAAAAGCCAAAAGATCAAATCCAACTCGAATGAATAAACCCATTCTTCTCTATTATCATCACATCAATACCTATTTATTTTATACCTCTCGTACTAATTATAATTTAAACCCCCAAATTTCTCTCATTTACATCCGTATTAAGTATTTTGTCATTCCTAATATGAATGATAAATTACGAATCAAGTGAATCTTCTTCGCAAATCCTCGTTATTAGCACCAGCGAAATAATCCCCCAGTGCCAATTAATTCAATCAATAGAAACAATTGATTGAATGAATCGATTGACCCAATCAATTAAATTGATTTGTGATGAAAAAAGCCAAAAGATCAAATCCAACTCGAATGAATAAACCCATTCTTCTCTATTATCATCACATCAATACCTATTTATTTTATACCTCTCGTACTAATTATAATTTAAACCCCCAAATTTCTCTCATTTACATCCGTATTAAGTATTTTGTCATTCCTAATATGAATGATAAATTACGAATCAAGTGAATCTTCTTCGCAAATCCTCGTTATTAGCACCAGCGAAAAAATCCCCCAGTGCCAATCAATTTAATCAATAGAAACAATTGATTGAATGAATCGATTGACCCAATCAATTAAATTGATTTGTAATGAAAAAAAAACAAAATATCAAATCCAACTCGAATGAATAAACCCATTCTTCTCTATTATCATCAGGTCAACACCTGTTTATTTTATACCTCTGGTACTAATTATCATTTAAACCCACAAATTTCTCTTATTTACATTCCTATCAAGTAATTCGTCATTGCCAATCTGAATGACAAATTACGAATCAAGTGAATTATCTTCTCCCAGGAGGCACAGCTGTATTCTGTGCAACCTTCCTCTGGAACTCCTCGTAATTAGCAGCATCGGGGAAATAATCCCCGAGTTCCCGGTCGAAGATGGCATCAATGTCGTTGGCTTCTCGCAGGCATAAAAAATATACGAGGAAGGTGGCGAAACTGAGCCAGACGATGGGGGGTTGAAACCAGGGGGTGTTGTCGTCGTTAGTTCCACTGAAACTGTGTCTAGCTGCCCAGGTTGCTGCTGGGGATTCCGAGTACACGATGGGTTTGTTTAATTCGTCGTCCGGGTCCTCAGGGGATACCTCGGTTTTCGTTTTGAATGAGTGTCTCGCGGGTTTCGTAGCAATTCTGGAAGTTATTAATTATTATTAATTAATAATTACTGCACTATGGTAATTCAGTAAAAAATTTTGCCTCAAAAATATATGAGACCTCATGAATCCCCTCGCTCATGAAAAGGGGTTCATGCGAAGAGGATTCATGGGGAAGAGGTGAATATATTTGATATGCATTCATTTATAGACATTTATTAAAAAGAATTTGAATGAGTGTCTCGCGGGTTTCGTAGCAATTCTGGAAGTTATTAATTATTATTAATTAATAATTACTGCACTATGGTAATTCAGTAAAAAATTTTGCCTCAAAAATATATGAGACCTCATGAATCCCCTCGCTCATGAAAAGGGGTTCATGCGAAGAGGATTCATGGGGAAGAGGTGAATATATTTGATATGCATTCATTTATAGACATTTATTAAAAAGAATTTGAATGAGTGTCTCGCGGGTTTCGTAGCAATTCTGGAAGTTATTAATTATTATTAATTAATAATTACTGCACTATGGTAATTCAGTAAAAAATTTTGCCTCAAAAATATATGAGACCTCATGAATCCCCTCGCTCATGAAAAGGGGTTCATGCGAAGAGGATTCATGGGGAAGAGGTGAATATATTTGATATGCATTCATTTATAGACATTCATTCAAAACGAATTTGAATGAGTGTCTCGCGGGTTTCGTAGCAATTCTGGAAGTTATTAATTATTATTAATTAATAATTATTGCACTATGGTAATTCAGTAAAAAATTTTGCCTCAAAAATATATGAAACCCCGTGAATCCCCTCGCGCATGAAAAGGGGTTCATGCGAAGAGGATTCATGGGGAAGAGGTGAATATATTTTATATGCATTCATTTATAGACATTCATTAAAAACGAATTTGAATGAGTGTCTCGCGGGTTTCGTAGCAATTCTGGAAGTTATTAATTATTATTAATTAATAATTACTGCACTATGGTAATTCAGTAAAATTTTTTGCCTCAAAAATATATGAGACCCCGTGAATCCCCTCGCTCATGAAAAGGGGTTCATGCGAAGAGGATTCATGGGGAAGAGGTGAATATATTTTATATGCGATAAAATTTTTTGCCTATTTTGGAATGAATTTGTTCAATACACCCTACCATTTGTGAGGGGGTTCATAAAATAATAATTTATAAATTTCATCCCTTAAATCTTTTTTCCGTATTTTTGGAATAGATTTTTTAAATATACCCTTTTAGCTCTGAGGAAGTTCATGGGGAAGGTGGATATATCCCATCCGCTGTCTCATGCTCTCTGACGTTTTTTCACTCTTTAATGCCCTTTCAGGCCGCGCCTCAATAATATTCGGCAATGTTGGCAAGCGCCGAATGAGGTTAATTCAACTGTTTTTTTTACGTTGTCAGTTTCACGATTTTATGTATAAAAAAAACACAAGTGCCTCGTTGATTGTTAAATATTGTTGAATTCCAAAAATCATGCTTTCGAGAATTTGTAATTCTCTCATTAAAGGAAAGAACGAGGAAAATATTTTCATAGAAAATCAAGTTATAGGGGAAATAAATACGAAATGAGGGATAGAGAAATAAATAAGTAGATAATTAATAATAATTAATAATAATTAATTCAACATGGACAAATTTCTCAGTAAAATCATCCAACATTGTCAATAAACCCAGATTTATGTTCTAAACGTTGAAAAATTCAAAATTAAAAAAAAAAAATATTGAAACAATCAGAGCATAAAGCCACAGGCCAATAATTACTCATTAACTGCTAATTAATTTCAATTTAATCGATTATTTCCAGTCGTACTACATTCGACAGACCTTGACTCCCCCAGTGACCCCCAATCCAACGTTACCCCATAAAAACGAATACAATCTTCAAAAAACCCCTCCCTAATCTTGGTTATGTACCCCACAAATGCACCCTTACCTCTGTAAACAACTGGTGAATCCCCCTCTCGCCATCATCACCCTCAACTGCGAAACAGCCATATCAAAGCCCTCACTTTTCCCCTGACACTCACCGTATTTCCCAACTTTTTGCAACAAATTTTGCAAAAACACGACAATGAGGATATTCCGGAAACAACTCGACGACTGACATCTGCTGGGGCTCCACCGAGGCTCCTATGTTTGGCAGACGAGGAGAGGAAACAGTCGTTGGCAGTGACAGACTGTAGGGCCTAGGGGTAATACCTAAATTGGATTTATTCACATCATCCCAATTATTAACAATTAACAACCCCCTGATAACACAATTGACCCCCCATTAACGCCCCAAATAACCAAATCAATAGAATTAAAAATAAAGGTTGGTCCTACTTCAAGTTCTCTCCGAAATTAGCGAAAAAAAAACTCTTTTGCCAAAATTTCTGGCACATCTCCTTCCTTTATCCATGCAGTTCACGAAATCGCCTTGGGAAATTGTAGGGGGGGTCTAATTAATAGCTTATCATTAATTTAATCGAGGGGTTGATCATCTTCTTCTGTTCAGTTGCAAAAAAAGGGGAGGACAAAAATTGAAAGATTCTCCTCGCAAACCAAAGTTGTTCAGCCTTGCTTCCTCCCTCAGAACCCTCTACGCCCCCCCTTTCCCTCCCCGCGGCCCCGTTCGCTAACATTCTGCTCTCCATCGCCAGCCGAACGCGATTTTTAAGGCATCCGGGGCTGAGTAATAATTAAAAGCCATCTGCATGCCCAGTAATTTCAATAAATTTGTAATAGATAATGTGATTGTGAATAATCGTTGGCTGTGATTGTACGATAATTGATATTTTATGTTCGGGCAGAAATCGAGGAATTTGATGAAATTTGAAAAAACGTGATTTTTGGGGGCATAGGATGTATTGATGAACCTAACCTCAATATTGTCGGAGACGGCTGAGAAGGAGCAGGAGAATCGTTACGGGACACAGTTTATCACTGATCAGCTTGGGTCATTCAATTTGTCGGAGAATCGACAGTACAGCTGCAACGTGAGTTGAAAGTGTTTGGGATTATTTGGCTTCGGGGATTTTGGATTTTGGGGGAGGGAGGGGGATTTTTTGGAAGAAATTCGGAAGTGAGGGGGGACCTTGGGGGTTCGGTTCACGTCGTGAATTGTGGCAGGGGTATTAATAATATCGGGGTTGAAGGATTTTATCCATCTATTGTATTTTAGTTGTTTTAGGGTTTTTTAGGGGGAGGAAATTTTTAAATTAATTTTCTTGTTGATAAATTGAGGAAATACTGCGAAGGAATTAATAAGGGTGATTGATAATTCAATCGTGTTTATTTCTGGAGGAGGAAACGTGCATTTCGCGATGATTATTAATTTCTTTTAATTGAATTCTGTGAATTATAATTAGAGGAGAGAATTATAATTGGAAAATTGGGGTTGAAGGGCTCGTGGAGAGATTCAATTTGTCGGAGAATCGACAGTACAACTGTAACGTGAGTTGAAAGTGTTTGGGATTATTTGGCTTTGGGGATTTTGGATTTTGGGGTGGGAGGGGGATTTTTTGGAAGAAATTCGGAAGTGTGGGGGGACCTTGGGGGTTCGGTTCACGTCGTGAATTGTGGCAGGGGTATTAATAATATCGGGGTTTAAGGATTTCATCCATCTATTGTATTTTAGTTGTTTTAGGATTTTTTAGGGGCAGGAAATTTTTAAATTAATTTTTTTGTTGATAAATTGAGGAAATACTGCGAAGGAATTAATAAGGGTGATTGATAATTCAATCGTGTTTATTTCTGGAGGAGGAAACGTGCATTTCGCGATGATTATTAATTTCTTTTAATTGAATTCTGTGAATTATAATTAGAGGAGAGAATTATAATTGGAAAATTGGGGTTGAAGGGCTCGTGGAGAGATTCAATTTGTCGGAGAATCGACAGTACAACTGCAACGTGAGTTGAAAGTGTTTGGGATTATTTGCCTTTGGGGATTTTGAGTTTTGGGGGCGGGAGGGGGATTTTTTGGAAGAAATTCGGAAGTGTGAGGGGACCTTGGGGGTTCGGTTCACGTCGTGAATTGTGGCAGGGGTATTAATAATATCGGGGTTTAAGGATTTTATCCATCTATTGTATTTTAGTTGTTTTAGGGTTTTTTAGGGGGAGGAAATTTTTAAATCAATTTTTTTGTTGATAAATTGAGGAAATACTGCGAAGGAATTAATAAGGGTGATTGATAATTCAATCGTGTTTATTTCTGGAGGAGGAAACGTGCATTTCGCGATGATTATTAATTTCTTTTAATTGAATTCTGTGAATTATAATTAGAGGAGAGAATTATAATTGGAAAATTGGGGTTGAAGGGCTCATGGAGAGATTTAATTTGTCGGAGAATCGAGGAAAAACCTGAGTCGAGATTATTTGGGATAATTCGTTTTTCGGGTTTTGACAGAGGGGTATTAATAATATCAGGGTTTAACGATTTTATTCACCCATTTTATTTTATTTTATTCTTTAAGAAGAAAGACATTTTGGGACTGAACAGGGGAAATTCATTTTGTTTTATTGATCAATTAAATTAACAAAGATCATTGATAAGTCATTCTTGTTTATTTGCGAATGAGGATGCAGTGAATGTTACGATGATTATCAATTTTTTAATTGGATTCTGTAGAGAATTACAATTAAAAAATTGGGATTGAAGGGCTCGTGGACAGAGAGAACATCAGCTGAGTTGTCTCAAGAATAATATCAAACTTAGTAATGTTTCTTCATTCATTCTAATTTTTTATTCAACAAAAAGAGTACTTTGGAATTGAACAGAAAAAATTGATTTCATTGATTTCAATTAGAAAATTGACAAAAACCTGATGGAATGGGTAAACAAATGAAAAAAGATGGTGAATACATCATTCGAGTTTGTTTATCGATTATATGACTGGTGAATTAGTGTAGGTGATGATTATTATAAATTAATTGTTTTCATTATATTTTAAAGACAACCATAACCAAAAAATTGGTGTTAACGGACTGGAATATGGAGTTGAAAAATTTGTATTCATTTATTTCTATTCTTTTTAAAAAAAACGGAATACTCTCCAGTTAAAAAGGAAAAATCGATTTTCATTAATTGCTAAATTCACAAAATACTAATGGACTGGGAACGCGAATAGACAGAGATGATAAACAAATCATTCGAGTTTGTCTATGGACGATATAGATGAGGAAGTAATAGAGGTCATGATGACGATGAGATAATTGTTTTGATTGAATTTTTCAGACATTTATAATTTATAACCAACAAAAATTGGTGTTGAAGGGCTCGTGGTCAGGGGGAATTCTCTCATCTGAGTTGCCCCAAGGATACGGAATAACCGTTGAACCAGCACGAATAGGACAATCATTGGTTACGAGAGGAGGAGGGATGCCTCGCAGTAAGCGGAGAGCGCCCTCCAATACGAATTATCATCATCACGCGTCCACTGATATGTCACCAAGTGCACATGAAGATAGTATGCCGAGGCATCCCTCGAAAAGACTGAGACACACAGCCAGGTGAATTGAATTTACTGATTTTTAATTTTTTTTATTTCCCAGGCTGAACAGAAACATGATTTGAGGCCTGTTCGAGCTTGGGGTTAGATGTCATTCCTCACCCTCGTAGTTTTAAAATTGATATTTCCGTAGAAATCATGAAAACCATCTGAAATACTCAGTTTCAAATTTTTTTTCATCATTATGTATTTTTTATTGCTACATAGAAGAAAATTTATTCAGACTTTTTTTGTAGAGAATTTCCGGAGATACAAAAGAGGCATTCAAATACGAATGACATTTTTTTCCCCTCATGAAAAAATTCCATTTGAATTTTCACGAACAATTCAAGTCAGGCGAACTAATTTGTAATCTTATTCCTTTAATAGACAAGATAGACAACGGTTGCTTCTAAAAAAATAACAAGAGACATTTGCAGAGAATTTCCTCAATTACAAGCAAATTTTTTGAACATTTTTCCTTAAAATCCCTCGTCAGTAAGAGGAATGCATAATTAATAACTAAAAATTTCAATTCACAAAAACTAGTTTCTGATTTCATTATTCCTCCAATTATGCCATCACCGCGTCATTCTAGAAAAAGACATCAAACATCTCCATAAATTCGAAATGAAAAAAAAGTCCACACGTCCACTTCATTAAAAAAAACCCAACCGTTAAGCCTGGAATTCTCTGCACACGAACAACTACAAAAACTTCGAAAACCTCTTTATCTATTAAAAAAAAATCCCTCTAAACTAACTAATCCCAACAATAACTCCTCATTGACCCCCGCATCACCGAAATCATAAAACCCGAGAGATTGGCATTAACGATAAGAACCCTGATATACATACCATCCTCATTAACCCCAACAACCATTACATCAGTAGTCAGAGAGTAGTCTCCGTTGGATGTACAGACATCGTGGTGGTGCAGAGGCGGTATAAAAATAGACAGTCCACAATTTTAGTCTGCCCTTCCTAGTCACTTTAGCTGGTCCAATTTTCCGTCTTCGAACGTCTCTCCTCAATCCACATAATCCACCCCCAAGCCCAGATACATCGAGTCCACCCCCAGTTCTCCCTCTCAGGCGTCATCCCTTAGATTAAATTTCCGCAATTCCCTAAAATTGACGTCTGAATTCTTAAACTCAAATTAAAAATTCATTCGAATTTCATTCGAGTTTCTCTGACAGTGCATGGATGACAACAGGTCTGTGAAGTGCAATAATAATAGCAGAGAATAATAAAAAAGGATCGATCAGTGGCCACATAATGACACGAATGAAGTATTTCCTATTCCTAATATTTATTTTTAACTCCAGGCGTTACACAAAAACAGAGGATGTCTCAAGTGCATCGTCGTTCTCCCAGAAACGATGTATCGCGTGGTTCAGAGAGTACACAGTGCCAGATGATCCAGACACACTCGGCCCTGAAGGAATGGAGAAGTTCTGCGAGGACATTGCTGTAGAGCCTGAGAATGTTGTTATGCTTGTACTCGCTTACAAAATGAATGCACGTCAGATGGGATTTTTCACAATGAGTGAGTGGCTCAAGGGATTGTCGGAGTTGCAGTGTGATACGATAGGTAAAATACAACAGAAATTAGAATACCTGAGGAATTTACTCAATGAGCCACACACCTTCAAGGGAATCTACAGATATGCGTATGATTTTGCCAGGGTGAGAATCAGTTTTTTCTTTTGTCGAAAGTAATTCATTGTGGAAAAAAAAGAAATTTCAGGGATTGTTTAGTAGTAATTTTTAGGGAAGGGAACTTCTAATTTTAGGGAAAATTCAATAGAATTTGACATTCTTGAGCAGCAGAACATGAATTTTCAGCACAAAATTACGCAGAATTTTTAATAATTGAGCAGTCGAAAATATGTTTCGTTGAATTTTTCAAATTTCTATTAATTTTCGGGGAATAGTTAAACTGAAATTTATAGTTTTTGTTGATTTTTCATCAAATAGTGAATTTTTTTAAATATTAATGTGTTGTTGATTATCAGGACAAAGATCAACGTAGTATGGACATGGAGACAGCTCGTGTGATGCTCCAGTTACTCCTAGGAAGACACTGGCCCCTATTCTCCCAATTTGCACAATTTCTAGACCAGTCCAAGTACAAAGTTATCAACAAAGACCAGTGGTGCAACATTCTCGAATTTTCACGAACTATTAATAATGATTTATCAAACTATGATCTGGACGGAGCCTGTAAGTACTACAGTCATTTTAAACCTAGTTGAATTGAAATAGCCAAAACGATTTAAGAACGAAATAGATCAGTTCATGAAGAATATTTTTTAATTTGAGATTTTTAAAAATTCTGGAAATTTCGATACCTTGAATTCCAACAGAGAGAGATCATTTAAAAAAGCTAACACTCAGAAAAATGAATATTTAAGATTTTGAAGCTCATCAAAGACGATTTATTGAAATTAATCCTTTGAGTAGAAAAAAAAATTACTCTTCTGTTCGAGTCTTAGGTTCAATCTTTAGGCTTAAAATAAAAAAATGTCTGTGAATTCTTGACATTTTGGGCTAAAAAAAACTCCAGTTGAATTCTGAAAGTCTCAAGTTTTCAAATTTAGTTTTTTTAACCAATTTTTTTATTTCTTTTAGCGAAATTCAATAAAAAATTATCCGCTAAAATGCTGAAATATTCCAGGGCCAGTAATGCTCGACGAATTCGTCGAGTGGTTGAAAGTTCAAAGAGGCGAGGGGGCGTCTTCAACAAATGTACGTGGCAGCTGAAATATCACATCCACCCAGCCTGTATCTTATTCAAAACCAATTCCCCCAATTCGACAATTTCAATCTCTCTCAATCACATATGTCATAAAGTTGAAAAAATTGACTTTCCAACTTTTGTTTCATTATTTTTCTCGCGTTATTCACAAGTTACTTGAATTATCAATTCACTGATTGGAAAACAAAATTCATCCTGACCCTTCGCTGCAGTCTAAAAATCGTGCAAAATCAATGATCAAAAGTTTAAATCATAGCGCTAACGCCTTTTGTTTTGAGTAATCTAATAGCCTGTAGCTTAACAAAGAAAAAAAAAACCTAGTGTTGCCGTGTATTTCACCGATGGTTGTGCTTAGAAATTCGATATTTGGATTAGGAAAAAAAAAACTTGAAAAGAACAAAATCCGAAAGATTATTCTCCCTCAGCACTACATCAGTAACTTCTTCACTCGTCTCTCGATATATGGATTAAAGTAAATATGATTAACATAACCGTCCAATTGCCGTGTATTTCATACTCGATAAATTGGAACTGTATAAAGGACGAAGAATATCATAATGGAATAACATTAACTCAGTTTTTTACGGAGTTCTAGATGGGATGCCTTACTTACGTTGAAGGGATTTGTGTTGGACGGTTGCTCGATTTTGGGCACAATCATGTAAATAACGGTGTAATTTAACTGATTAATTACTTGATACTACTGATAATTAGTCGACTTAATCCAATGCATGATTGATAGCTGTGATTAAGTGGAATAAATGACAAAAATCCTTCGTTGAGAGAATTGAAATCAATTGAAATGCACTAAAATGAAACTGATTGATGAGAAAATAATAGAAAATGAAAAATAAAATGATTATCGATGGAAACTCAGGAAGTGAACGGGGGAAGTGAATTATCCTTCCGTAATTTTTTTTCCAGTGAAACATTACGGAAGGAAAATACTGATTTTTTTGTAATAGCTAGAAATACGTTAGAATTAATTAAACTTTTATTTCACTTAATTGCAGTGAATAACGAAAGCAATAAGGTCCTCATGAAGATCATTGCCAAATCAAGTTAAACGGGCAATCGAATGAGAAACCTGACTCACAATGTGAATTCTAAGTAGTTAAATAAATTAATAACATACGTGCGAATTACAGCAAAGAATTTCTCTTCTGTTTAGATGTTAAGTATTCTCGAGGTGTTTATTGAAAAATTTCGAGGCGACGGGTGAATTGAGGAGTTTTTTGTCATTTTCTTGGAACATTGATCCTGAGAATTGAACTCATCATTTAAATTTTACGTTTTTTGGTAATTGTGGATTTATCAGGTGATAATTGCATAATAGAGAATCAAATTCTCATTCTGTGATTTTCCATTTTTTGTTAACTGTGGAATCACTTCCACGAGGAAAATGTCAAGAAAACTTTGATAGATTATGAAATAGTCTGCAAAAAAATTCACCTGACTTTTTCCCCTGAAATCATTGATAGCGAGTGTAAATCCACGTTTAGCAAGAATTAAACTCGATTTTTACATTTTTCTGGAGATAAAAAAAAAGATCTTTCATTCGTAGTTTCATTCGTACGTTCACCAGTCAATACAACCTGTTTATTCATGTCCATAAAGTCTCGATCTCGTTTCTCCCCAGCTATTTAAGTTCATACGATGTAAGTGTGATAAAGAGGAGACATTGAAGGACGAATTTTTTAAATTGAGAAGACGAAAAATAAGAAAAACAAATTGAAAAATACCAACTCTTGAGTTGTAAATTTTCTTGAAGAGATAGTAGCAGGCAATAATTCTCCCTACGTAATTTAAGTAATAATTTAATAATCCACTTGTCACTTTAATATGCAATTGTTGTCTAAGGAAACAAACTTGTAGATACACTTGTAATTCCTAGTGATAATTCAGTCTCGTCTCTGTTCTGCCCCCATTATCCTTTCCCACCATCCTCGATCATCCCAGACCATTTTTTCATCAGTATTCTAACGAATGATAATGTAATCACGTTGAAAATGTAATGTCAAGAGCCTGCTGGTACCTTTTCAACTCACGATAATAAAATATACAATTGATTTAGAGGGGTAATGTGTTTATTGTAAAACTGCTCAATGTTTTTAGGATGTTTTGCGTTTTATTTGGTGCAAAAAAGCATCATTTGCTCAATTAATTTAATCGTTCGATCAATAATCAGATGAATTATACTCGAGATGACATTCATTTATTCATTACTCCTTTATTTATGTAGAAGAGATGGTGGACATTCTGATGATTTTTCAGTGCCAATACAATTCATGTACAATTTAATTTTTTTTTTTCATTGATTATTTACAATAACGATCGGATTTCATTTTACTTCGTCTGTCTAGCAGTGTTTCGTGGAGAATTCCTTGGTTTTTCGCCTCTTCCAGTTGAGTTTTGTCGCCAGTGTTGATTCGTAATTTTTTGTCTTGGAATTTTTGGAATTTTCGGCTGAAAGGAGAATTTTATTTTTATTATTTTGGCTTTCTCTAATAACTTCTGAAGGAAGAATGTACAAAAAATAAAAAATAAATTTTCTTGTCAATTTAGTGGACAATGAGAAATGTCTGGAGATTTTTCTCTAATCCTATTCATTTTAGATATATTTCATGAATTAAGACATGTCCCAAACGGAGAGATAAAATTTCACGAGCTAAAAAAAATATTTTCCAATGGCTTCCGGATGGAAGTTTTGCAATCGTTCAAACACAGTATGATCCAACTTTTTTTTTAGACCTCGTCCGTACGTGTGTGTATGTGTGTACGTATGTAACAAAGTTTCTTCAATTCACTAATGACTGGATGGAATTGAATCCACCCATTAATTGAATTAAATTTTTTCAAATGCAGATATTGATCAAATAATTCACCAAATCAAGAATAATGATGATGATAACATTTAACTAAGTGGAAAATCTGACAAAATTAGTTTAAAAAAAATATTATTCAATTTAATAAAGTGAAATGAACAATGAATGATGCATGATAGAAGGAAATGATCTGCAAAGTAACCATTCGCAAGCATATTGCTAATTTATTAGCAAAAAACTATACTATACGCAATACAAGAGCAATTTCCCACTTGTTTTCCTCCAGAAATAATTAATATTCTCTTCAAAAACGTGTACTTACACATAATTAACTTCAATCTGTGCGAGTGACCCTTGCTCCTCGACAGGTACATCCTTGTAAGGATCATCGACCTTCTGTATCATGCTCCTGAGCGATAAAAATTCGTCAGGCCCAGCTGTTTTGCTCTGGCACACAGCATCTTCCTCATCCGATATCGACATGAAGCATCCGTTGTTCCCCAAAATGGCTAGTTTTCCGTCCTGAAATCATCAGAGATTATCCAAAAGCCCTTCAGAGCGTTCTTCATTGGACAATTATGACTACAACCTGAAAAATGGGCTCCCACTGCTCCATGGCCCCCACAGCATCACTCCTCCCCACGACCACTCCCTTCTTATCAACCCCAATGTACTTCCCATACCCTGACTTCAGGGCTATCTTAGTCTCGTTCACTGGAAATGCTGTGAGGATTTCCTCGGGGGAGGGCCCCTCCCCTTCGTCGTGAGGTGCTCCAAGGGTGAATAATCCATTGTCGAGGGCTTTCACGTACGTCTGATTTCCGAATTCAATTGCCACTGTCCCTGTTATCTCGGTGACATTCTTCACCTTCCACCAGCCGCCTGAAATGAACGTAATGAAATGATGTAGAAGACACTGGCGTAAAATGGAAGACCAGGGAAAACGAATACTGAGAAGAAAGTTCAATTTAGAAAATGTTTCAGTAGCGAAGAGGAAAAAAGTTCAAGTCGACTTGGCTCTTAGCTGAGTTTTTGAAGAATATCTCCGAATCGAAGGGAGATAACGAAATTTTCGTAATTGCCTTTTTTGTAGAGCGAATTGCGGGCTACAAAGCTCAACACCAATTCACACTCAACTCCGAACGTTTTTTGAGGGTTGTTTGACTCTCAAAACCATTGTCCTTAATTCCACACGTTTTTAAAGGTTTTTTGACCCTCAAATCTAAACGTTTTTAATGGTGTTTTGACCCACAAAACCATTTGACCATCAACTCCAAACGTTTTTAAGGGCCGTTTGACCCTCAACACTATTTGACTCATAATTTCAAATGTTTTGAAGGATCATTTGTTAATTAAGGACTCAGTTAATTTATGATTTCTCAATTTTAAGGAGTTTATTCTCAATTGTGGATATCCATTAATTACCGTGTTGCATAGCGTCAACGTCTTTAGTCTCCGAATCCTCCTTACTCCGTCCATGCTTCTTATGTTTACGCTTTTTGGATCTGGAAGAGTGATCAATTAAAATTAAGCAAATTCATCGATTTAAATTCAATATAATAACGATGGAGTCGCCCTACGGGGCTAGCGCACTGCGGTGAGCTATTGTTGTGCTTTTTTTTACACTTTAGCAATCAAATTTTTTTTTAAGCACTTGAAATTAGAATGCATAAAACAACGCTCAATCTCGTTGAGAAATATTAACAATTCTACTTAAGGATTTTTTCCAAAATATGTCATAAACTCGAGTCTTCCAGGCCTAAGTTTACAGAATAAATAAAATATCGTTCATAGAACTTTTTTTTAATACTAGTTTTTAAGGTTTGTAAATATTGTATATATTGTCTTTGAATAAAAACTTGGTTAAACAAAAAAAAACTGCGGAGGTGAGCAGGCTTAGCTCTGGGAAGCTAAGCAGCGCTGAGCGTGGTCACTAGATGGATGGGTGACCGCGCGGGAACACCTCAGGACAGAAACATTGTTTGGAAAAACTGGAAAGAGCATTTGGGAAAAACAAATATGCGGAAAAAACGGGATAAAGGAATAAGAAACCGTAAAAACCGAAAGGTATGCAGTGAAATGGAATAAATAAAAAATAAAAAATGACAGCGATGGAGTCACCTTAATGAAGCCTGAAGTGGAGTAATTAATACATCGAGAAGATGACAAATGTAATCGACAAAGTGAACTCCAACTATTAAATCCAGTTGCTCAATGTTTGTTTACGTTGGGAATAATAATACGTACTTTACTTTTTCTCCCTTCAGGCACAACTTCTTTATCCTCACTTTCTCGTACTCGGCCATTAATTTTCTAAATTTATTCAGTAATTGGGGAGATGTTTATTTATTCAGAAGTAGATCACGTCACGGGAACTCACGAACTCACAACATAACCTCTCGAATAAACAGAATCATAGGTATTCGGACCGCTATTTACCGATGGTGGCGTGGTGATCGCCCTCATAACATGGACGACCGATGGTTTACTCGTTCAAACTTGTTCAAACCCTCACATTGTAGCTGACAGTAGTAGTTCCTCTTCGACTCATTCTTGTCTGTATTGTTTTTAATTGTTGTACTCGAAGTTCCGATGGTGTCATATTTTAGAAAAACTTGAGGATTTGCAAAGTAATTGATTGAAGTTCCAACGATAAACCATCGGACGGCCATTTTTTTTTAGTGCAGGCGATACCCACCAGACATCGCAGCGATTTATAGCGTCCCCAATCGTATTTCACAAAATATGTAAAAGCTTTGCGAATGACTTTACCGTTCCCATCCCGGTACAAACCTCTCCACCGGTATGGACTCGACCGCGCCCATAAAACATAGTAGTCCGCCCTGTCCCCGCTAGATCATATTGTACGGAATGTCGGCAATAACGACACTTTACGGTGGTCAGTTATCGACTCGTTTTGAAAAAAGTAAGTAGATNGTATTTCACAAAATATATATGTAAAAGCTTTGCGAATGACTTTACCGTTCCCATCCCGGTACAAACCCTCTCCACCGGTATGGACTCGACCGCGCCCATAAAACATAGTAGTCCGCCCTGTCCCCGCTAGATCATATTGTACGGAATGTCGGCAATAACGACACTTTACGGTGGTCAGTTATCGACTCGTTTTGAAAAAAGTAAGTAGATTTTGAGATGTTTAATGAAATTCATAGGTGTAAATATTAGAATTTTTTTCTGCTAAATTTCTATTCGTTTTTGTTGCTAAAATTGCTGAAAAAAAAAATCTCAGAGTAAGCGCTAAATTTTTTCATTGAATTTGCTCATACAGGCGTATGAATGTCTGGGGAGCCTCGAGCCCCCCACTCTCCCTTCTCTCCGCCCGTGATTTCTTCATTCGCCAAGGTCACGGATGGCTTCGATTAACATTTCCGATAAATACCATCCCATAACATCGAACTTCTAAAACCCATTCGTCCCCCTGCGGATAACAATCAAATATATCTCAGATCCTATTCGTTTTTTCCGTCTTCCAACCGTCAGAAAACTACAAAAAAATGTCTTATAAATAACTCAGGATCAACGATTTTTCAATTTATCAATTTCATGTCAAGACACCTCTCTCCAGTCTCATTGACTTATTTCATCAATCTAATTTTTTTCTCCTGGCTTCAAGCAATTTTTTTTTTCATATCTAAAAAACTAAATAATGTAGATGATACGTGCATAGGTTGTCGATGTACTTGCACCCCTTCATTCATTCAATCCAAGCCACCCTCTTACCAAACGCCCCCCCCCCCTCTCTATCCATCTTCCTCCACTGAACGGTAGCGCGCTTTTCGCCTCCATTCGAAATTGTTGGATACCGAATGGAAGTGGGGGTGTCTTCTGTGCCGGCAATCGCGGAGGGGTGCCTTTCAACCCCCCAGTATTGCCGCAAAACGCGCGTACGTCAGACGCTAACGCTTCGTGTTTCTCCGTCCGTAGTAAACCATTGTCAAGTGTGAAATTGTTTGAAAATTTATTGACAAATTGCAGTTTAAATTATTTCAGTGGTTTTCGAGTGTCATCTTGTATTTTTCCTGTAATTGTGATTTTTTTGTTAGTTTTCGTTGGTTTTAATCAGAGTGTGGTGATATAATTGTATTCTTTTATCACGAACCGAAGGAGTTTGCTGAGGCGGCACCATGGACAGTGTTTTGGTAATATGGCAGCTAAACTGTAAGTGTTATTAATTTATTCATGTAACTGTTTAGTTATTTGGTGTGGGTACAGATTAAGGTACATTAAGCGGATGTTTGGAAACATTTTCAAGTGATTGATGAATTCTCCGGTGATTTAGGCTATAAGATTTGAAGAAAAGACGATTTTCATGTGGAGTTTTTTCATTGAAAATTCTTTTCCTTGAAAAAAGGGCGATCGAACAATAAAGTGTTGATTAGTTTTCTGCGAGAGGGCGGAAGTGGCTATAAAAAAGTTGTGAGTAAGGTGAAAAAGATATGAAATTTGGGAATAGTTCTTCTTCAATAGCCACCGCGGAGCGGCAAGTTATTTTAAATGTTCTTTCTGTTGAAAGAAAATTGATATTGCTTTCGTTTTCGGGGTAACGGTTCATAACAATTTCAAGTTTAAGCTGGAATTGGCGTAAATTTGAATTAACTTATGGATTAATTATTTGAGAATATATTCGCCTGTATTTTTCTCATTTTTAACAATTGTCAGGGAATAATTCAGTTGTGAAGCGGTAAACTGAGTTAAGTCGATTTTGACTATTAGCCAGTTTTTGCTGAATATCTCGGAATCTAAGAGAGATAGCAAAATTTTTCTGAAGACTTTTTTCATGACGCTTTATTAGCTCTACAAAAAAGGTTATGACAAAAATCTTTCTATCTCTTTTAGATTCCGAGATATTCGTCAAAAACTAGCCAATAGTAAAGAACGACTTAACCCGGTTTACCGCTTCGCTACTGAGTTGATGAAATCTATTATTTCTTTTGGAGTTTTCATTGAATTGCGAATCACCAATTTGTGTAGTGCCACTTTCACTGGTAAAGAGGAAAATTCTAATTTTATATGTAATTTATTACACATTCTTGGAAAACAAGATCCTTAAATTTCATATTTCGCTGACGATTCAGTGGAAGTCGATATATTGAGCTACAGGCCCCCATAAATTGTCCATTTATTTGATTCTTTTAAAAAAGATGATAGATGTTTGATACCAAATTACGTCGAGCTTTCAATTAATTCCAAATTCAATAATATAACTCACCTTACGAATTTCCATTAATTAAACCTGGAATCATAAAGCTAAAATTTATACTGGAATTTTCTATCGATCTGTGAAAATTCCTTGAAATTTTAGTGAAACTGCTGAATGATAAAAATTTCCACGTATTGTACCGAAAATTTTCACCGTTGTCAGAATATCAAAATTCTCCCAAAATAAACATTTTTTCAACACTTCAAACAACTCAACAAAGAGAGCAAAGCAAATAGTCCGATGTTTCGAATCACAATCCTTCTGAAAAGCCCCTTTTTACATCGATGATGAATCGTTAGGTATTCAAACTGGAATTGCAATCAACTGCTGATTGAGTTTACATACAGTTTGTATACCCTATAAGAGTAGAATTTGTCAGTACCAAACATACCACCGGAAATCCCCCAATCCTATCATGAATATTTATTGTTAAATTTCTCTCCTCCCATTACAATTTTTCCCGAAAATATCAATAATATTATTTTGATTCATATGATCGTTTATTTTTATCCCTCTCCATCGATATGCAAATTAACCGTGTATTTACATTTCACGTTTTACCGAGTGTCGTTATGAGTAGAGTGAATTTACAAAATTTCCCGGACCATTAAATCACACCATTAATTTCCGATAAAACGACAGAGCGAGAATTATTCATTAAAAAAGTACCAGTGAAGAGTGAGTAATTAACTTGCGACGCGGATCGTTCATTGGGGGTGAAAAAAATGAGAAAAAAAATATCAACTCGACGTGCGCGAGAGAGTGAATGAGCCAGTCTAACCGCAAAAGTCAATATTTCTTTTTATCTTTTTAGTGTTTACTCTTCTTCTTGTCGATTGTCAGCCCAATTTAAAGTTGTCTGTACCTGTACCCGTGCACTGCTCATGAATTATTTCATGCATTTGTCCGTGATCTCTTCTCGTTAATGTCTCTCATTATCTTTCCACTCGATCAACAGCAAAATGCAAAAGCAAAAATAACTGAATGAAAGCGAAACGACGAGCGGATTAAATTTGCCGTTTTATTAATTAACATTGGGCATCTGCCTCCAACTGGGAGTCGATACCGAAATTTAATTAAAAGCAAAACAATTGGTTTTTGCAAGTTTGCTCATCACTCGATAAATTTTCTCTAATGTGATAAAAATATGGAAGGGGTGCTCTTCGTTTTTAAGGATGTTCTACACCCTTTCTGCCAAAATTCACGTTTTTTTAATTTTTCTGGCAAATTTATGATGGAATTGACGTGAAAAAATATAACGTTTTTGCGTTTTGTCATTATTTAATGACTGACGAAATTTTAAGGTGGTGCGAACATTTTCCTGCGTTTTCTCTAAACTTTTAAAAAGAATCACAAAACTGTAGAAAAAACGCATGAAAATTATCGCACCACTACGCAACTTCGTGAGCCATTAAAGAATGACAAACCACAAAATCGTTATATTTTTTCACGTCACTCCCATCGATAATTTGCCAGAAAAATGAAAACAACGTCAATTTTGGCTAAAAGGGTGTCGAACATCCTTAAGAATTTTTGATGTTAGGGATTTGAGATAACACTGTTCATGGAATTTCTCATTTTTCTTGGGAAAATTATTTGTTTTTAAATTAAAAATGGGTAATTCTCGCCTTCCGGCTGCTGAACAAATGCAATTCCACCGAATTTTCCGTAAAATCCAGAATTCTCTGTTTATTTTCTCAATTTCAGTGTTTTATTAACAGTTCAAACCGCGATGCGACGCGTTTTCATCAATTATTTTCCGGTAAAATCAGAACAATGATTTTCCAAAGTTACCAATCACTCAACAAATTCACCCCAATAAAATCCCAACATATTTTGAATAATCCCCCACGAGTTGAGCCTCAATTACCAACATCCATTACCCGACATGCCCCAAGAACCGTCCAAAAATAAAAAAATAAAAACACATCGAAGGTTTTTTTTTCCCAGCACCAAAGTGAACATATTTCTTTTTCCTCTCGCATTTCGTTGAAATGAGATAACCCAGATATTCGTATTTCATAGAGCCCACATGGGTTTTACATTAAACCACAGTGATATTTTTCCGAGTGTTGAAAAAAATCCATCACGAATAACGAGTTTGAGGATGATATGAAAGACAGGCGAGTGCAGGAGAGAAGTCAAAATAAAGTAAATAATGAAATACACTGAGAGAAAAATATAATTCTTCAGAGTGGCTGTGGTGGTCATGCGGGGAGAGTGTGGCGGTCATCCAAGCTAAGCTAAAAATTGACTCAGTGTGACCAATGGACACAGTGTAATCCCTGCATTATCGGCCGGCTGTACGACCGGGGTTTTCTATGGTTTCCCTTGCAGCCCTAGCCCGAATGGGATACAGTTGAGAGTAAAACGGCCCATGGTAACGCAGAAAAAATCAGAAGAGAGAAGTGGGAGAGGCAAGGCAGACGAATGAAAAGCCTATAAAACCGTAATGGTACACTGATAGAAT